TCTATTGTTACCTTTTCACACGAGCTTTCCCCGTTTGGCTGCCTTACACAGCTATAGTTAAAATTCGACATTTTAGGATTCTCATGACCTGATGCGAGCGGACTTTGAAATCGGACAAGTGCTTCGTGATAATATTATTCCTCGTGCGGTGCTTTTCTATACTGGTGAAGCTGATCTTGGCGATGACATGTTCGACATTGGCGAGGTATGTCTCCTTTATTTTGCATTTCCATCAAACTTTCCCTATCAATATTTTCGTTACAGGATGGTGATGACGAGGAGGAGGAGGAAGATGATGAATATGACGAGTAGGCGAGATCATATCAAAATTAACAACTATTGTCTCTGATAGACATGGTCGACGCCACCATTTGTTTTTGTTGATTGTTACGTGCCCTGTTTTCAGTTGGCCTTTGAACGTGTAGATCATGATTTGATTCCATGTTTATCTTTGCTTCACGATGATTTCCGGTGTTCTTTGTTAGATATTTTTCATAAATCTTTCAAATAGATGTGTTAGTATACTTGATTGGAATCGTTGGTTGTACGCAACCAGTACTTCCAATGCTCTTTGATTTTAGCACAGTTATATAAAGAGCAGTGGTGAACACGTACGGACAGTATTGGTGGAGGGAGTAGGGTAGAATCATTTTGTTTTTATAAAGCTATTTATTCAAATTGTCATTCCAAATTTTATACAATATAAATTTTATTTTTTATATAAATAATTTGGATTGATAAATTGATCAAAGCAAATTATAGATAGGAATGTTTCATTTTGATCTTTTTATCAATTCAAATAAATAAATAGATAAATTTCTCTCTTTTCCAATTTCTTCTTTTGTTTGGGGAACGAAGAAGCTAAATGTTGTTTGTAGATTGGAAATTAACGCTCTGTAGTTGTGTTCCATTTAGGAATCCCAGATCGCGACAGTGTCAGTTAATCATGACTGAGGAGAGATTGTTTTTTCTCATGGATTTGAGGTTGCGACTGCAGGATAGTGAAGTTGTCAGTGACAAGGATCTGGAGCGTGTCATAGAAATGGTGAATTGCCTCGATCTGGTCGGTGACACGACCTTACGGCGCTCATTAATTCTTGTGCTCGAGACGACGTGCCTGCGATTTTGGCATTTATTCATGTCACGTTCGGTGCCGATCGACCACATCGAACGGGCACTGGTTTCGCGAATTGTGGAAGGGATAGGCTCACGTGTGGACAAGATGCAGTTTGAAGGTGTGGGCTTTTCATAAGTTTGCTTAATTTCAAGTCACATTAATCGGTATCTTTCTCTGAGTGTTTAACTCTTGGAATTGTTATTCAAAAGGTTAACAACGCTAACATAGCTCTGGAGAGAGGTATTTTCCAACTTGTTTATTTTTGATATCTCATTGATTCTTTTTCATGCACGTGATTAAACAATGAGCGTGCGTTGTTGTGTGCCATGTGGTGGGATTGGGTAATTCGCCTTTATGTAGTCGGTGTTTGCTGATTTTTTGATATTTACTCACAACATGGTTCCAACCCCCATGTTCCTCCTTTTTGATGTTTCCTCTGCTTTAGGAAGAGGTGGTGCTCGTGGGTGCATACTCTTTTTCGCGAAGCTCTTTCTTGGACCAATCATGCAGCCTGACTTCGTGACATGTTTTATTCTGTCTTCCATATATCAACTATTCACCTGTCTTTTCTTGATGGAAAGAAACATGCCATCTATTTGAAGGGACTTGTTGAGATAGGAGCGCTTAGGATATCTGGTGTTTATATTGTGCTCGTAAGGGTTATGGATAATTCCAGGCTATTCAAGGTTTTGGTTTATGATTCCTTAATTAGGCGCCCGGAAAGGAGTAGTATGTATTTATCCAGTCTTGGGAAGAGACGGTTGCATTTTCATTAATATGGCAGCAAACCGTAGGCGTGGACTCAGAGGTGGGATGACCAAATCGGACGGATGCTGCTTGGAGGGAAATCAGTTTGGCATAAATTTATCTGGCATTTCAGTTGGACCTTTCCTCAATCGGGTATGTAGGTGGTCTCTCGCTTTGTGAACATATTTTCGATTGTCGTTTTATCCCCGTTGCGGCCTGGCGGTGGCGTTGCAACACCATTTCAAATGGTTTGTGTGGCGCTGACGTATGGTTTTCTATCTGCTAGAGGCTGCTTCCGTCACCTCCCTTTACCAATTGCGTGAACCTGCCATTTCATTGTGTGTTGCTGTTAGTATTACAAGCATTTGTGTAGAAGTGCAACAATGAATCGACGCTGAGCCCCGCAACCGACCAACTAAGTGTGACTTTTTCTTAAAATACTTAAAGTAGACTATTTTCGGCTAAGGCGGAAGTGGGTGTAGTGGACACAGGTGCGCGCCTTACACGCGAGCGGCCGTAGGAGTCAAGAATTTCCATCAATCTGGGTGTGAGGGCCCCGGGCAACCAGCGTTCCATCCCTCGGGTCGGTTAAGTTGGTTAAGACTTGTCTGGGAGACTGAAGAACCTGACTTCGAACATCATGGTGGCCCGCAAGCGTTGTGTATTATGTGCCAGCATGCACATAAGGATGACGATGTTGACGAATGGATAAGTAGATATGCAGAGGCCGCCATCCCAAAGACGCGGAGTGATGAACGGCGAATGCTTTTCTTTTAGGACTATTCCTAAATCAAAATTATGGGTTATAATGTTATGCAAGATTAAACTTTTTCGGCATAACTATGAAACTTCGAATTGTTTCGACATAAGCTTAAAAACTAAGAAGGTGGGCCAATTTTCAAAGCTTCTTAGTTTCTTTGTTTGTGATCGAATAGCTTCCAAATTTCGCCATAATGATACCTATATATGCTCACAAGTAATAAACATGTAGAAGAAAGATTTTTCGTCCACGGGGAAATTCGTCCGAATGAGTGGAATGCGTTACAGGCTATGGTTACATTAGGGATTATACTCTGGTTTAAGCATGCTGGCCTAGTAGGCCTGTGTAGTGGCGTGTAGTTTTCTAATTGCGTTCCTTTTAGATTCGATAAGTTTCTGCTTGTTCTGTGACGGGTTCATTGCTGCATTGCTTCCGATATGTGATACTTCAAAGTAATATCGTATTGTGTGCACGAACAGTTGTCGAATACACCTTTACCCCATATGTGTTAGATAGAATGTTGCAGAGGAGAGCGATGAGTCATTTTTGGATCGTATACGGTAGAGTCGAGCAACGGTTTTACTCAAAGTGAAAGATCGTGCCTTGATAGTGATTCTACAGAAATGTTAGTGTTGTAAGACTTAATGATTGCATATCCAGTTAGTACGTTTGATTTTGTTTTTTTTGACTACGAATGGTAACTATTTAAGTGTGGAACAGTAATCAGGAAGTGGGAAGAGCATCAGGCTTCCTGTTTTTCTAATAATTCGGCAACTGTCGGCAGTACAACGGTGAAACAAATTTCATTGTAAAAATCATCCAGTGGTGGGGCTTACATATCCATTGTGTGGAAGGCACTGCTACCTGAAAAAGCCGCACACAATCAGTGGATGTGTTAATCTCGAGGGGAACTTGGATCTCAATGTAGGAAAAAGGTGCTTGTTCTTCTGAGATGGACTACTTTTCATCAGTGTGAAGCAGGAAGCGAACAATTTCACGTGTTTCATGTTTATTCTCTAGAAATGACTGCGGGGCAGGCTTGGGCAACAATTGACAAAAGGCGTGGCATCAATAATCAACAGCATTCAAACCAGGCGCGACATTGTTTTTATGAAGGCCTTGGCCACGTGTGGTTCTGCAGAATAGCAGTACATGCAGCGAAGGCATCGAAAAGTCAATGTAGTTGTGCATGTCATTGATTCGACGCTTATTTTGCTACTCTGTATGGCAGCATGGGTTTGAAAAAGGAAAGACAGGACGAGTAATGGGGGACAATATAGAATGATGATGCAGTGCGAGAGTTATGTATTGTCTATTCTTTACATTTATCTGAAATGGCATGTTGCACAGGCCACAGAATATTGGTCCATTCGCAATTGGCCTACAATGCTTTGTGGAACAAATCTGATGCCCCATACGTGTCGGCCTTACTACATGGCCCTTATCGGGACTGTCAAAGGTTCTGATGATGAGGAAGAGTATCTAGGCGGCTTCGATATTCTGGGAATAATTCGAAAGATAATTTTGGGCTATCTACACGATATTAGACTGCGCATTCCTGCAGCTGCCCCGAATCCAAGGCTTCACGAAGATAATGGTATATGCGAGCAGTATGCGATGTGTAGATTGTACAATGTGGTATTCATGCCGGTGGAGCTGCGTATGAGACGTTTTATGTATCACATGTGAGCACTTTCGGGCTAGCAGAAGCGGGTTATGGTGTAAACAATGAGAGGGTCGAAATAGATTTTACAAACGAACGTCCTGAATTTTAAGGAACCGGAATGAGGTAGCCTTTATCGTTTCGCGTATTAGAGATCACCTTCTATCACTCCGTGATTTTGCGAGCAATCGTACTAGACGAAGAAACGCCAGAGTTATTTCATGAAGGTGGTTCAATTTCTTTTGCCCCGTGTGAACACGCAATTCCACAGCAATTTTATGTTCCAGAACATTTGATCTTTGCCACTTCACTAGAGATTTATCCTTGGTTTTCAATGCGTTTTACGTAGGTTACCTGCTGACACATTATGCAAACTCTTTTATTTGCTCATCGCTTTCGCTACCTTGAAATCGAATCTGACATCGAAATTCGAGATGCGATCGTATTGATTACGGTGAGGTTTTTTGTAGAGAACTCATGAGGAATTTTCTCAGCATGAGAAAATTGAATAAAATACTATATTATATACTGTAAACTTATGCATAGTTCGGAGAGATTTGTGGAACTCTCCGAGTTATGTATTAGTAAGTGTAATCGGAAATGAAACTAGAGATCTAACGGAAGTGTTTTATCTAAAAATTTCGTTTCTATCTCTGAAAATTCGAGGTACGGAAGATATTTTCAGATTTATTTTAGCTGCAAACAGAATATTTGTAATCTTGCATCGAACCAGTATGTTTCGGCCCAGTGAGCATGCGTCCATTCAAGTCAGCAGGCGCTGCTATTGCTCCTTCTTTTCTCCTTTCAGAGCTACAGTTCCTTTTTGACACCTTCGTTGGAATGCTCGCCACATAATAGGTTGATTTTCATGTGTTCTCATGCGTTCAGCCGTTCTCACACGTCTGCTTTGAACGCGATGGATTGCTGATGTGGCGCGTAGCCACTGTTGTAATGCTTCATCGATTTTGGGTGCACTTTGGGATACTTTCACACTTCATGATGGTAAATTACAAGGGATTAACGTT